GCGTTAGCGACGCTTTTGCGACAAAAACTTTATTATGAATAAAGTGATTTCAGTAATAGACCGATCTTTTTCCCTTCCGAGGGAAAAGGCCTCGGGGGCACCTCGGCGCAGTCGTATCGAATTATGACGTCAGAAGCGAGAAATTGCGCGAATCTGCTGCAGTCATCGAAATCAAGCCGTCTCTGTTTTTTTTCTCGCGAAAATCTTTCGGCTCATGGTTAATAGCTCGGTTAACAGCTGCGAATACTGTTAAATTGATTAAAAATGTCTCGAATCACTTTACGAAAACGAAACAAAATCTACGGCAATCGATCTTTTTAACAAAACAGTCGAGACGGCGGTAGTCTTAAAGTTAAAAATTCAAGATCCACTTCCTCTGAAAGAGTATAATGCGAATCGAATCGCACGCGCGTTTATTAATGCAGTTTAATAAAAGAGGAAGCATATTTTACCGAGGTATATTTTACCAAGCGCGATCGAAAGAGGAAGAAAAGGAAGCTAATTTGCTTGAACGAAATAAAAAGCGGAAAGTAGGAAAAAAAAAACTCGCACGACTTCCCTCGCTTCTGACGTTGTAGTTTAATACGGCTGCGATGGCAAAGAAAGGGGAGTTTTTTCAAATTCGCTTTAAAGGAAAACTACCGATATTACGTAAATCACTAACCCCCTTCTCTCTCCGTCGAATGCAGCCGCGAGATGTATGATCCGCCCGCGACACGCGCAATTTCCAAAATTTCCCTCGGATAATCCGCCTATAAATTCGTAAGAGGACAAAGGCCGAAGAACCGACGGTGGCGCATATTAACTTAACTTAATTTAGCGCCGCTGGGCCGAATCAGCCGGGGGCAATTAGCGGGGGGCGCGCGCGCGCATGTGTGCTCGTCCTTCGTAATCCCTCTCGTGATCGCATAACGATCGCTACTGGGGAATAGTTAATCACGACCAAAACGATAGTGATATGATGATTTCCGTGCGGAAAAATTAATCAATCGATCCCGACGAAAACTTGAAAAAGGACGCGTGAGGACTCAATACGACCGTTAAGGCGAGGGAAGAGCCCTCCGGATGCGTTATAAATAAAGCGTTTAATAAACTAAAAGCTTTCCGGAACCAGCGCGGATTGGCCCAGATTTTCCGGTCGGCAGTTACAACAGGCCGCGTTACTATCGAATATCAAACCGTCGCGTCTACTCGCGTATCGATTACTTTCTTTCGTGCGAGAGCTCCGAACGGCGGCGCGGCGCGGAGGCGACTCGTCGACGGCTCGGATCGGATGTCATATCGGATTTTTCGATACAACGCCGAATTCGTGGCCGGATTTACGCTGCCAGCCTCCTTTCAACTCCCGTTCCGGGAAAGGAGAAGGCGGGATGCACCCTTCGCCTTTGCATTATTATTCCGCGTCATGCTCGGGTCACGCGCGACTCAACAATCAATCCCCGTAGGCAAAATTCATTCCAGCTCACGGATTAAAAAAGGCCCGTCTAAATTGACGTTACTGCTCGTTTATTTTCTCTTCTTCGTAAATGATATTCTCTGTAATTTGCATTCTTCTAGATATTTTTCCAACAAAGAGGCCGATACCGATTTTTCTTATACTTCTTATACTTCTTTTTTTAAATATTATGACCATTTCTTCATCTCAGATATTATATATTACTAAAATATATGTCGCGTATAGCAAAAAGAAATTAATTATATTAATTATCGTCGCGGACCTAGAAAAAATTTTTATTGATGAAAAAAATGAAGATAAGTGGACACAAGGATCACGAGTTGATTATCAAGGAGAGCAATGTTAGTCTCACATTTCGTCATGGAGGATGCGCCGGCGCTGCTGCCCTGCTTCTTGAACGTGCTGCCCATGTAGACCTTGCCGCGTATATTCTTGTCCGGCTGGAAGACGATGATGTAGACCTTGGGCGAGTAGAGGCATACCAGGGTGACTGACGCGTTCAGACTGATCGCCACGCAAAGTGTCGTGATTTGCGTCTCGTGGGCGTTCCCGGTGCCGAAGTAGATCGGCACGAAAGCGAGCCAGATGATGCAAGTGGTGTACATGGTGAAGCCGATGAATTTACTCTCGTTGAAATTCTCCGGAATCTTGCGCGTCTTCACCGCGTATATGGTCGAGATGAGGATCAGCAGGGCGTTGTACAGCTGGGAGAACAGAAAGCTCATGTCTTGGATGTTGCACTTGAGGATCACTTGGCGACGATCCGGATACGAGTATCTGGTACCCGGCGGCTCGATGATCATCCAGACCAGCGTGAGCACCACCTCGAGAATAAAAAAAAAAAATCGTCTCTTTCTCTCTTTCTCTTTTGTTTTTCTCAGTAGATTAAACGAAACGCACGAGAACGAACGAAAGCAAAAAATATCTATTTCCACAAAATTTAAAAAAATATATTGCCATTTTAAAAGGGAAATTTAGAAAAAAATTTTTTACTTTTTTTTAAAAAAGATGTAAGGTTTTTTTTTATCTTTTTTGCTTAAAACTGTTAAGTATTAAAGATAGATAATTACGTATATCCTCGATGAAGAAACATATGGACATGGCGAAGCTTTGTTAAATTAAGCTTTTAATTCAAAATGACAGCTTCTTCCTAGGATTAGGATCCGCTTACTTGGAAGGCGATCAGCGCAGCCGCGATGCAGACTTGCGACGTGGGACTGATGTATCGCGGCCTGACGGCAGATCTCGAGGCCGAGTCGAAGATCCTGGCGATCCGGTTGGTCTTGGTGAGCAGGGCGCCGTACACGGCGCTAAAGCTCACGCCGACGCCGAAACGCTGGAGAACGCAGGTTGCCGTGGTCGGCGTGGCGAGAAGCACGAAGGTGTTCAAGTAGCACACCAGAACCCCCGCCAGCAGTATCACGGTGAGTTCTCGTCCGGAGGCACGGACCACCGGGGTGTCGCGGTGTTGAAAGAGCAAGCACGCCACCGCCAGGGTCGCCACGATTCCTAAGCAGGATATCACCGCAGGTGCGATGGCGAAGGCGCTGCTCCATCTGACGTAAACGGTCATAAATATGAAACACTTTTAATTCTAAACTATTTTAATCAATATAATCCCTTTCCACTAGCTCGTGCTCCAATTTGGGAAAAAATACGTGTTGCACTTTAACAATAAATAATTCTCTTTCAATCCCTGTACCCTACCGGTTAACGATCAATGAGAAAATTTTGTATTGTAAACTTCACAGTGAAATAAGTTACGTCATTACGGTGTAATACGATAAATAATAAATGCAGCTTTATAAATTCCCTTCTATTGGATGGCGTGTGAAATCTATCGTGTTTGAAAATTTAACAAAACAACTCTTTTACGCAAAACAAATTCACTTTACGTTCATATTCGTAAAATTTTATATTGAGATAATAAAACTCTTCGCTTCTCGGATGATGTTTGCAAAACATTTTTGCTGCATGTTCCCAAATTGAATTTGTCTCGCATTTGTTTCCCTTTTACTCAGTGATCGTTTCTATTAATTACAGAATCAGCAGAGACTCTCGCGTCGCGAAAATTTCATGGAGAGAGAGAGAGAGAGAGAGAGAGAGAGAGAGAGAGAGAGAGAAC